GCCGGTGGCATGGTGGTTAAAGGTACTGGACTCCCACATGGCCCACCATGAATCCTGGATCTAGAGGTTTGCTTTCTCACTTTCCCTCTCTCTCTCTTGTTCTATCCCTCTCTGGTCAAATTAAAATAAGTAAAGTTTAAAATTTTTAATTTATTTCATTTTATCTATTTTCTTTAAATATTTGACCAAAAAGAGACAGAGAGGGAAAGTGAGAAAGCAAGCTGCAAGTCTGAGACTGGAACTGAGTACAACCCCTTTACTACCATGAAACCCGTTGACCACCCGTTTACTCGTTTTTATTCTTTTTTTCACGTTTTTGCCATAGGATTCACATGCTTGCTCTCCCAACAGCAGTGAGAGGGGAAGTGAGAAATCACGTCGTGGGGCCGATGGCCACACTGCAATACCTTCTCCCCCATTTTCCTCCTGGGATTTTAGGGAGTTTTTTTTTCTTTTTCTAGAGGGCACATGCACTTGTTAGACAGAGACAGAAAGTGAGAAATCACCCCCCCCACAATCTCTTCATTCTCCTCTCAGGATCTTGGGCATGCATGCACACATGTCCTGTGTGAATTTAGGTCACCCGGTCTGGGACTCAAAACGCAGTCGACTACATGGGAGTCCAGCGACATAGCCATTACACCAACTGCTGGTCCCCCACTCCTTTAATTTTTAATTGCCAGATGGTACATTTGACGCCAGAGACAAATCAACTCCCAGTGGAGCATGGTCACGAATTCCTTCACTTCTCTATCCTGGCAACTCATTCTTCGTCCTCCATCGTGCTGGGATTTTGGGCTCACAGGTACACACCCAGCATATTTTTGTTTTTTGAGGTTTTTGCTATAGGGAATGTGCGCTCGCCAGAAAGACACAGAGAGACAGAAAGTGAGAAATCATCCCCCAGGGCGGATGGCCACGCCACAATCCCTTCTCCTCTTAGGATCTTGGGCATGCACGCACATGCGCCTGGCGTGAATTTAAGCCACCAGGTCCGAGACTCGAACCGCGGTCTACTACATGGAGTCCAGTGACATAGCCATTGCACTAACTGCCGGTCCCAATGCCCAGCACGTTTTGACCATGTGGGATCTGGCTTACTTACCCACTTGGTAATGGAAGTGGCCCTCCTTTACTCATTTAGGGGGACCAGCAGATGGCATAATGGTTAAGTAGCTGGACTCCCATAGTCAACTGAGTTTCCAGTCCCGGACATGGCAGCTTAAACTCATGCCAGGTGCATACGCGTGCATGTCCAAGATCTCAAGAAGAGAACGGAGAAGGGATTGTTGGGTGGCCATCCCTCCTGGGGGTGTGATTTCTCACTTTATGTGTCTGTCTTTCTTGTAAGTGCACATGCCCTATAGGAAAAACCTCTTTCTCCCATATTAAAAAGTGTAAGAGGGGCCAGCTGGTGGTGTGGTGGTTGGGCAGCTGGATCTCACATGGCCAACTGCGTGGTTCAAGTCCTGGACCTGCTAACTTCAAGAATATGCTGGGTGAGTGTGCATCTGTGCCCCAAACCCTGAGAGAGCAGAGAAGGGATTAAGGCATGACCATCCCCTCTGGAGCGTGACTTCTTTCTCTCTTCCTGTTGAGTACATGCGCCCAATAGCAAAAACAGATCCATATTTAGCTGTATTTTTACTCAAACACTGGATTTTGAGATCAGGCAGACACGACTAAAAGCAAGGTGGATGGTTTATTCATGTGTACTTCGGTGAAATCGGCACTGATACCATGATGCACCAAAACAAATCTTTCTGAAGACTTAGAGAAATGAACAGAATTAGGGATCGCAGTAAAACAGCCAAAAGGGGCAGGGGCAATCAGCAAAGTGCATTTTACCTTCACCCTTTACCTAAACACTATTTTTTTTAAATAAGTAAGGCCTATTTCCAGAAAACAGGAATAATTCTTCATCACACTTATTTGTATTTCACTTCTTCTTGAGGTTAGATTCTAGGGCCCTAAAGATTCCCAAACTAGTATAATATTTACGTATCTGCAGCCAGAGACAGTTTGAATAATGTTGTCCATAGCAGCCAAGGTTCTTAAAACCTCTTTGATTAGACTCCAGTCATAACCCACCCTCCCACCCTCCCACCCTCCCAATTTACACAGCAGGCACACCGAGAACCAGCATATCAAAGCAGAACATACACAGCTCTAAGATAAGAAAACTCCTATGAGGAAGAAAGGAAGCCAGTCACCTCCCAGACTGACATTTAGTTACTGTGCGCATGTTCACGCATCTTCAGGCAGCATGCTCATGGAGTAATTTAACATGAAGTCCATGGTCTGTGCGGTGCTAAGATACTTAGTGGTTTACTGTAACACATTCTGGCCTTCCCCAGAGGTTTCCAAGATGGCCTCCAGATCACCGGCAGGAAGAACTTGCTGGAACTGCATGGAGGACTGCAGAGACTCCTCTCCACAGTTATAGAATTGCGCGTCCCAGGCCGGGGAGCACCAGGTCTGGCTGTTCCAGGACTGGGTGCTCCAGGACTGGGGGCTCCAAGCCTGGGTGGTCCAGGACTGGGGGGTTCCGGCGGGTTCCACCCTGGAAAGTTTCCTGATGGGTTCACCGGGCATCCCTGGTGGTAGGCGGCATAGATCCCAGGGTATTCAGCAGGTGCTGGGCCCTTCTGAAACAGAATGAGGAGTAATTGAAGGGGTACCCGGAAAATCAGAAATGGTTCTCTAGTTGGCTTTGTATGCTTCAGGTAGAGACAACACTAAAGGGCATTAAAAAGGAAATGAAACCCCCTGTTTACCTGAGTCACAGCACTGCAGTTCTTTGGCCACTTGTTTTTCTGCCACCGCTTACACTTCATTCTCTGGTTCTGGAACCAGGTCTTAACCTGTGAGAAACAGTGACAAATAAAAAAAAACTCGCAATGCACATCTGCTTTGAATCAAAGAATACTAGTACTGTCAACTTTTTACTTCCAATAGCGTCAATCATCTCAAGTTCAGAAACAAAATTTCAACTTTTTTTTTGTCTGGTCACAGAATACAAGCACTTGTGAGAGAGAAAAAAAGGCATGCCTCTATGGGGATGTCTCCGTCCCAGGCTCTTTTCCGTTTCTCCCCCACCTTTCAGAATCTGGAGCGCACACGCACAGGTTGGTACCTTTCTCAAGCCACCGGGTCAAGGACTCTCACCGTGCACTAGGCCATGTGGGATCCAGCTGCCCCAACCAGCAAGCAGGCCACAAAGCTGGCCTCAAATTTCAGTTTTTAGAGTCTGCTTTGAAATCTTGAACCAAGAGTCTATGGATGAATTTTGAAGATTGTTTTTGCTTATTCTACCCAGTTGCGTAAGGTCGCTGGCAAATCTGCTGACCTGAAAGATCACATTTAAATGTCTACTGATCCCATGGGACCAGCAGCTGGTGTAATGGCTACGTAGATGACTCCCATGTAGTTGACTGTGGTTCGAGTCCCGGACCTGCCTGGCAGCTTAAACTCACATGGGGCTCACATGCATGCGTGCCCAAGATTCCCAGAGGAGACTGGAGGAGAAGGGACTGTGGTGTGGCCACACCCCTGGGAGGTGATTTCTCGCTTTCTGTCTGTTTCTCTCTGTCCTTCTGGCGAGCGCCCTATAGCAAAAACCTCTCCAAAAAAAAAATACTGATTCCTTTTTTCATAGGGTTTACCCAAGTCATAAAAGTTAACTAACCTATTTTCAGCAACAGCCTCCAGACCCACACACAGGCAAACAAACTGTGACAATGACAGATGTTTCAATTTGAGAATATAACAATTCTTAGGAAAACACCAAGCTAGGGACCAGCAGATGATGTCATAGTGACGCTGCTGGACTACCACATAGTCAACAGCAGTTTGAATTCCAGACCTGGCAGCTTAAAAGTCATGCCAGGTCCATGTGCATACGTGCCCCAAATCCCAAGAGGAAAACTGAGAAGACATTACAGCGTGGCCATTCTCCTAGGGGAATGATTTCTTACTTCCTGTCTCTGTTTCTCTCTGGTAAGGGTACATGCCCTATAGCAAATATATCTCTCCAAAAAAAGAAAATACTGAGCCAGCAGGTGGTGTGGTGGTTAAGGGCACTGGACTCCTACATGGTTGACCTTGGTTCGAGTCCCAGACCTGGCAGCATGCTTTTTCACTTTCCCTCTCTCTCTCTCTTACTCTGTCCCTTTCTGACCAAATTAAAAGAAAGTTAAATAAAATAATTACTTTTAATAAAAGAAAAAAAAAAACATCAAGCTATATACCAGCACTAAAAGTTCCAGGTGGTTTTTTAGCTTTTGGGTTAACAAAGGACCAGGAGATTAATACATGTATACATATAAATGCACAGGCATGTAAACAGAAGATGCAGTTTTAGAAATGAGAACCAGTGTTGATCAGGGACTCTCCTAACCTGAAAGGTACTTAAATACTTTTGTTTGGGGGCCAGCAGACGGTGTGCTGGTTGAGACGCATGGTCAACCCTAGTGGCTGGAAAATCACAACAAATAAATAAGTAAATAAATGTTTGTTTAAAACACAAAAAACCCCTAGGGACCAGCAGTTAGCATAATGGACTGGCAGGAAGAACTTGCTAGAACTGCATGGAGGACTGCAGAGACTCCTCTCCACGGTTATAGAATGGCGAGTCCCAGGTCGGGGAGCACCAGGTCTGGCTATTCCAGGACTGGGTGCTCCAGGACTGGGTGCTCCAAGCCTGGGTGTTCCACGACTGGGTGTTCCAGGTCGGGTTCCACCCTGGAAAGTTTCCTGATGGGTTCACTGGGCATCCCTGACAGCAAAAACCTCTCCCAAAAAAAAAAAGTATTTATCGGGAGCCCACAGGCGAGAGGTGTAGAGGTCAGCCGTGTGGTTCTGCGACCAGTCCTGGTTCGGGTTGTCCCTAGCAGAGCCCCGTCACCTGTTTGTAGCTGAGGTTCAGAATGTCGGACAGCTCCTGCATCTGCTAGAGGCTGAGGTACTTCTGTCTCTGAAATCTGGCGTTGAGCACACACAGCTGGGTGGCAGAGAACACAGTTCTGCTCTTCTGTTTCTTGACCTGGACCTTCTCTTCCTTCTTCACTGAGCTCTTGTCTACTGTGGGACTAGTGGAAGAGTCGGGGCTCTCCAGAATGAGCGGATCCACTGAGGAAGGGAGGGATGAGACTGTTGGGAATAAACAAAATGACATTTCTTTAAAACTTATCCTCAAATACTAAAATATTCTACTACAATTTTGTTTTTGAAGTACTCTCGTAATAATCCTAACGGGACCAGCAGATGATGTAATGGCTACATCACTGGACTCCCACAGAGTCAACCGGTTTGTGTCCCGGACCTGGTGGCTGAGAACTCACACCCGGCGCATGTACGTGCATGCCCCAAATCCCGAGAGAATGGAAAGGGATTGCAGTGTGGCCATCCTCCCCAGTGGGTGATTTCTCGCTTTCTATCTCTCTGTCTCTGTCTCTCCGGCGAGCACACACATCCTATAGCAGAAGTCTCTCTCTAAAGAAAAAATAATAATAATCCTTACAACTCCAGACCTAGGTTAACAGATGGCACTTTAATTCTTTTCTTAGTTTTTGCTACAGGGTGCAAGGGCTAGTCAGAGTGGGAGTGAGAGAAATCGAGAAACATGAGGCCAGCAGATGACACGGTGGTTGGGGTGCTGGACTCCCACATGCCAAACTGCAGTCTACGTCCCAGACCTGGTGACTTGCTTTCTCACATTCCCTCCCTCTGTTTCTCCCGGGTGAGGGCATGTGCCCTACAGCAAACTTTAACAAGAATAATAATAGAGTAAATAAAATAAACAAATATTTTTTAAAGAATTATTTAATTTTATTTACTTTGATTTGACTAGAGAAAGACACACACAGCAAGAGAAGGAAAGTGAGAAAGCAAGCCACCAGGTCCAGGACTCGAACCATGGTGGGCCATGTGGGAGTGTCCAGCGCCTTGCCACCTGCTGGCCACAACAAATTATTTTTTTAATATATGTATAAAAAAAGAGAAACACTCCCCCACAACGCCTAGGAGGGATGGGATGGCCATGCCACAATCTTTTTTTTTTTTTGGAGAGATTTTTTCCGCTATAGGGCGCGTGCGCTCGCCAGACAGAGAGAGACATAGAGACAGAAAGCGAGAAATCACCCCCAGGGGGGATGGTCACGCCACAATCCCTTCTCCTCCATTCTCCTCTCAGGATCTTGAGCACGCACACGCGCCCGGCGTGAGTTTTAAGTCACCGGGTCCGGGACGTGAACCGCAGTCGACTATGTGGGAGTCCAGCGACATAGCCATTCCGCTAACTGCTGGTTCCCAACCCCTTTGCCTTCATCCTCCCTGTGAGATGTTGCACATGTGCCCAGCTGGCTTTTCAAGACACGCCCATCTGGAACTATACAGACAAGGTTGGCCATGTGGGATCGAGCACCTTAACCACCCTGCCACCTGCTATCACAACACCATAATCGTTTTTATAAAAAATCATTTATAGGGGAGCCATAGGGTGGCAGGGTGGCTAAGTGCACTGGCTGGTGGTCTGAGTGGTCTGCGTCCCGGATCTGGTGGCTTGCTTTCTCACATTCCACTCCCCAACCACCAGTCTGCTTCTCTATGGTCAAAACCAAAAAATAATGAAGATGATGAATAAAATTTAAAAAAAAAGAATTAGATTTTTAAAAAATATCACTTATTGGAGCCAATAGGTAGCATGGTGGTTAAGGTGCTAAACACTCCCACATGGCCAACCACAGTTCAAGTCCGGAACCCGGTAGCTTATTCTCACTTTCCTCTCTCTCTGGTCAAATTAAAATGAGTAAATAAAATACATAATTAAAAATCATTTATTTATCTATTTATTTGTTGCTATTTTCCTTTTCTTTTCTCCCCTCAGGTTCATATATATATATATATATATATATATATATATATACATATATTTTTTTTTTTTTTAATTTTTCTATAGGGCACATGTGCTTGCCAGAAAGAGAGAGACAGAGAGACAGAAAGTGAAAAATCACCCCCCATGGGGGGATGGCCATGCCGCAATTCCTTCTCCATTCTCCTCTCAGGATCTTGGGCACACACGCACATGCGCCGGGCATTAAATTTAAGCCTCCAGGACTCGAGCTGCAGTCGACTACATGGGAGTCCAGCAACAGTCATTACGCCAACTGCTGGTCCCCCCCCCTCCCCCGTTCATGATTTATCGTACATATTGAGTATCATATAATGTTTTGTTTTGCTTTTTAAGAACTTTTCTTTTTCCCATTATAGCGCGTGTGCACTCGCCTGACAGAGACAGAGATAGAAAGTGAGAAATCACCCCCCAGGGGAGATGGCCACACCGCAATCCCTTCTCCTCCATTCACCTCTCAGGATCTTGGGCACGCACGCGCACGCGCGCCCGGTGTGAGTTCAAGCCACCGGGTCCCGGACTCGAACCGCGGTCGACCATGTGGGAGTCCAGCGACATAGCCTTTATGCTAACTGCTGGTCCCAAATCTTAACTGGAAGTATAAGACAGTACCACAGTTCACTCTACCTGTGAGAGTATAAGAGCTGAAGTACTTTTTGTTTTTTTCTTTTGGAGGTTTTTGCTATAGGGCGCGTGCATTTCGCCAGACAGAGAAACAGAGAGACAGAAAGCAAGAAATCACCCCCCAGGGGGATGGCCAAGCTGCAATCCCTTCTCCTCCATTCTCCTTTTGGGATCTTGGGCACTCATCTGGCTTGAGTCTAAGCCACTGGGTCGCGGACTTGAACTGCGGTCAACTACACGGGAGTCTAGCGACATAGCCATTGAGCCATCTGCTGGTCTCGCTGAAGTCCTTTTTTTTTTTTTTTGGAGAAATTTTCACTGTAGGGCGCGTGCGCTCGCCAGACAGACAGAGAGAGACATAGAGACAGAAAGCGAGAAATCACCCCCCAGGGGGGATGGTCACGCCGCAATCCCTTCTCCTCCATTCTCCTCTCGGGATCTTGGGCACGCACGCACACGTGCCCGGCGTGAGTTTTAAGCCACCGGGTCCGGGACACGAACCGAGGTCGACTACGTGGGAGTCCAGCGACATAGCCATTACGCCAACTGCTGGTTCCCACCGATGAAGTCCTTTCGAACACCAGTGAACTAGAACTGGGCGTCAGCTTCATGACTGCAATCTTCTTGCAAAGCCACCAAATCCACAGACGGTGTCCTTCAACACAGGCAGCCTCCTCTCCCTTCTTTGATTTAAAAAAAATTTGGGAGGGACCAGCAGTTAGCATAATGGCTATGTCACTGGACTCCCATGGAGTCAACCACAGTTGGAGTCCTGGACCTCGAGCCGGGCGCCTGTGCATGCATGCCCAGGATCCCGAGAGGAGAACGGAGAAGGGATTGCGGTGTGGCCATGGAAGAGGGGGTGGGTTTTTGTCTGTTTCTTTGGCGAGCACAAAAAACTCTCAAAAAACAAAACAATTTTGGGGTGCCAGCAGGTGGCATGGTGGTTAGGGGAGCTGGACTCCCACATGGGCAACCACGGTTCGAGTCTCTGACCTTATGGTTTGGTTTCACTTTCCATCTCTCACTCTGTCTCTCTCTCTGGTAAAATTAAAATAAAAAGTTAAATAAGGGCCCAGCTGGTGGCACAGTGTCCCACATGATCTACCATGGTTCGAGTCCCGGACCCGGTGGCTTGCTTTCTCACTCCCCCCCACCCCCGCAGTTCAAATTGAAATAAATGAATGAATGAATAAGACCAAATAAATAATTATTTTTTTAAAAGTTAAAAAAAAAAAAAAGGGCCAGCAGATGCCGTAATGGTTATATGGGTGGACTTCCGTGTAGTATACCACGTTTCGAGTCTTGGTCCCGGCAGCTTAAATCCATGCCAGGCACACGTGTGTGCGTGCCCAAGATCCCAAGGGGAGAATGGAGAAGGGATTGCCGCACCCCTGGGTGGTGGGGGAGGGATGATTTCTCATCTTTTGTCTGTCTTTCCAGTGAGGTCATGTTCCCTACAGCAAATAACCTCTCTTTAAAAAAAAAAATGAATTACCCCCACCCAAGATGAGCATGCTACATACACTACCATTCTCCTCTCGGGATCTTGGGCACCCACACCCACGTGCCCAGTGTGAGTTTTAGGCCCATGTGAGTTTGATCTACTATTATTATTATTATTCAGTTTGATCAGAGAAACACAGAGACAGAAAGGAGAGAAAAAAGCTGCCAGGTCTGAGACTCGAAAATGTGGGACTCCAGTGCTTTACCCACCATGCCGTCTGCCAGGCCCCAGAATCCTTTAGATTTCATGATCAGATGCCGGGACTCCTCCCCAGAAATGGGGCAGGTCATAGAAACGGGCCATCTAGACCAACCTGCTGCGGCTTCCTAAGGAGAACGTGCCCAAATGCTCACCCCTGTGATTCTTCATAACCGGGCGCCGGAGTTTCCACATTTACAAGAATGAAAGCGGGGAGTGATTAAGGCATTGGCCTCCCTCATGGCCTACTGCGGCTGAGTCCCCGACAAGGCTGCTTGCTTTCTCACTTTCCCTTTCTCTGTCTCTGGTCAAATTTTAAAATAACAGTAATAATAAATAGAATGAAGCATAAAATATTTTAAAAATTTAAATGGGGGCCCAGCAGATGGCATGGTGATTGAGGGCACTGGACTGCCTCTCATGTGGGCAACCACAGGTCGAGTCCGGACCGGGCAGCTTGCCTTCTCTCTCTCTCTCATTCTGTCCTTCTCTGGTCAAATTTAAATAAAGAAAATTTAAAAAAATAAAATAAAGCATAATAAAATCTTTTAAAATTTTTAAATAAAAAAATTTTAATGGAAAAATTTATAAAAGTAAAGACACTAACAAAATCTACAAGAACAGATTAATTTCTTTTAAATTTTTTATTTAACTTTATTATTTTAATTTGACCAGAGAGGGACAGAGCGAGAGCAAGAAAGAAAGAGAAAGTGAGAAAGCAAGCCGCCAGGTCTTGGACTGGAACCACAGTCATCCATGTGGGAGTCCAGCGCCCTTAACCACTCCACCACCTTGCAGCCCCAAGGTAACATTGATTTCTTGCAGTCTCTCCAGCCTGTGCATACGCCCTCTAGCAAAAAATCTCTCTTAAAAGGGATGGGAGCCAGCTGGTGGCCTGGTGGTTCAAGGCATTGGATTATCACAGGTAGACCGCGGTTCAAGTCCCAGAACTGGTTCAAGTCCCAGAACTGGCGACTTGCTTTCTCACTTTCCTTTTTCTTCTCTCTTGTCATCCTAAAAAAATAACAACACGTAGAATTAAATAAATAAATCTAAAAAAAAAAGAAAGAAAGAAAGAAAAGAAAACAACGCTAGCACTCAAACATAGCAGTTACTTTGCTTGTTTGTATTCCAGACTGTTTTTCACCGATGCTGTCCTAATGCGAATACCACTTTTAGGCTCCGTTAAATCATAAATGTGAAAAGTGGCACTTGCGTGTCAAAGCTGGCTTCCTTTTGTGTTTGTAGTAACTACTGGCCAGTTGATGATTGTCAATCATCTGGTGCCGGCTGGCTACCATCCTGAGTGCCTCTCACCCCTGGCAGGTACCGCTTGGAAGCCAGACTCAAGAACACAGGTTTTGAAGCGCAACTGGATCTCGAAAGGCCAGAAAGTACTTCTTCTGTGGATTCATTTTTCTAAATTATTTTTACTTAACTTTATTTATCCATTTATTTACTTATTTCAACTTGACCAGAGAGGAAAACAAAGAGAGAGAAAATGGGAAGAAGCAAGCCGTGAGGTCCGGGACCTGAATCCTGGTCACCCGAGTGGGAGTCCAGAGCCCTTAACTGCCACGCCACCTGCCAGCCCCGATTACCTTTAATTTTCCCAAAGGATTATTTAATTTAATTTTATTCATTATCATTATTATTTTTTAATTTGACCAGAGTGAGAGGGAAAATGAGAAAGCAAGCTGCCAGGTCTGAGACTCGAACTGCGGTCAGCCAAGTGAGAGTCCAGTGCCTTAACCACCGCGCCACCTGCCAGCCCCCATCTGGATTTCAAATCCAAACTCTAGTCAGTAGCTCAAACTTGACTGCCAGCAGGCCAACTTTCTGCGTTATCTTTACCATAAAGTTAGGAGAACCGAGGACAATAGGTGTCCACACTCAGACCTGCCCAATAATCCCGTTTACCCAAAGGCCAAGAGAAAAGCCAGCAGCTGTGTTAGTACGAATGTCATTTCTAAAAATATTTACTGTGATATTTTGTAAATATTTAGTTACAAATATTTATTTGTTGTGATTTATCAAGTCACCCGGTCTGGGAATCCAGCACCTTAACCACCACACCACCTGCTGACCCAGGAATATCATTTTGCAAATTACATATTAATTATATAAACCTCATCTTGCTTGGACTTGACATTTTTGGCAAACCAAATCCAAAATGTGACGTTCACCACCCTTGTTCCAAGTTGCGTTTGGTCTGACTCATTAAGAGCTAGAATTTACTCTAACGATGTGTGCAGCACCATATTAATAGTTCCGCCAAAGATGTACAACAATTAAAATTAAATTCAAAATCAAGAAAATTTTCTAAAGACTTATGCGTCACCTCATTTAATATCAAAATACTTGTGTTTTCATAGTCCCTTCGCACAGAAGGTTCTCAAATACACCATCCACAGTCAAATTGCCCAAGTCCGTTCCTGTATTTCAGTTCACGACTCCCGAGACCTGGGACCTAGCTGAAAGGGGCCATGCCGCCCAGTTACAATAGAAAGAGGTTTCTGGAAGATGAATACACAACGACACAGGCTTGTGCGAATGAGCTATCACAGCTTCAGAGAGAAACGACCTGGTGACCCCCCCCCCTTTCTTCTTTTCCTTCCCCTTAAGGATCTGGGCCTTCCAATAATTCAGTTTCTTACCAGTCTCAGCGTGGGGCACCTCAGCGGATGACATTGGCAAGGCCGGATCCTGTTCTTCTGGCCCACAGCTCACAGGTGGAGGTGGAGAACCCATAGAATCCAATGGCTCAGAACAAGGCAGGCGTTGGGGACAAGCTGGATCCACACTCATGTTACCGAGAAAGTGGGGAGGGGGGAGCAACCAAATGTAAAAAAAACACTAAGCCTTGCAGACAAGTGTCATCTAGGTGGAAGATCTTAGCGAAGTGTGAAGCTCTCCAGCTGTAAAAGTAGCCCAAGGTGGTTGGGATGAAGCCAGCTCCCTCTGCAGTAACAGAAGGCAACCAGCTCAATCCAGTTGAAGGTTAAAACTTCGGAGACTCTAGATTTATAAGAAAGGCTCTGTCACCTTGAGACCCGCCCCTCGGCAGCCCCTGCGCCCACACACCCTCGGGAATTTTCAGTTAATCCTGTCTGCCAGTCTCACCAAGGCCATTGAAATGCAAACATGGCTGCTGAGAAACCCAGACTGGGTGGGGAACTAGAGTAGAAAACCGGGGCGAAAGAACCTGGAGGCCAAAGTTTACCTGCCCTTAAATACTTCAAAGATCACCTACATCTTTGATTTTCCATGTTTGCACCTTGAAAATCAAAGATGCAGCTCCATAGTCCTGAGGCCGCCTCCACTTACTGCAACTCCAAAATCTGTCTATTGTTGGTAGAAACCTCAACAACCTCCGTTTTCCCTCTTGTGTTTCCCCGAAGGTTACAGTGAAACTCCTATGGCATGTTACAAGGCAGCAGCTGAGGTTAACCACGGTTCTCGTTTCCAACTCCCCTTTCAGTTCCTTCTTGTTTTTTAGCTTGCAGAAGAACGGGAAAGTGCTACCCAGATTGCCAGTTTTTAGCCAATGCCAGGGGAGGGAACCAGCAGTTAGCGTAATGGCTATGTCGCTGGACTCCCACGTAGTCGACCGCGGTTCGCGTCCCGGACCCGGTGGCTTAAAACTCACGCCTGACGCATGTGCGTGCGTGCCCGCCCAAGATCCCGAGAGGAGAATGGAGGAAAAGGGATTGCGGCGTGACCATCCCCCCTGGGGGGTGATTTCTCGCTTTCTGTCTCTATGTCTCTCTCTGTCTGTCTGGCGAGCACACGCGCCCTACAGCGAAAATCTCTCAAAAAAAAAAAAAAAAAAAAAAACCCAATGCCGGGGAAAGATCTCTTAACCCAAGACGCTGTGAGGCTCTGCTGCTCACGTCACATCCACCATCACTGTGGGAGGTTCTAAATTTAGTGGACAGAATCCTGGCTCAGCCTCTTCAGTGAGTCTCAGTTTCCTCATCCCTAAGAAGGGCCAAAAGTAAACTCTCTGTGTTTGTCTTAAGAATTAAAGAAGACAAACAAACCCAAAGAAGGATGACCAGGTGCTAAATATTCCTAATTCTTGATGCATTAATCACCTACAAATAGTGGTTGTTAATGTAGATTCTGTCTGGATCCAGTGCCCCAAATCGCCAAGTTCAAATTATCTTTTTTTAAAAATTATTTATTTATTTATTTATTCACATGAGTTTTGCCAGAGTAAGACAGAGAGAGCGAGAAAGAAAGTAAGCCACCAGGTCCGGGACTTGAACCATGGTCGGCCATGTGGGAATTCCAGCACCTTAACCACCATGCCTCCTGCTGGCCCCCAAATTATCTCTTTTTTGGTAGCTTTTATTTTAATCTAGTGAACAGTATGATAGGAGGTATCACTATCACCTTATATATATATATTTTTAGAGAGGTTTTTGCTATAGGTCACGTGCGCTTGCCAGAAAGACAGAGAGACATAGAGACAGAAAGCGAGAAATCACCCCCCAGGGGGGATGGCCACACTGCAATCCCTTCTCCTCCGTTCTCCTCTCAGGATCTTGAGCACGCATTCACATGCGTCCAGTGTGAGTTTAAGCCACCAGGTCTGGGACTCATACTGCAGGCAACTATATGGGAGTCCAGCGACATAGCCATTACACCAATGCTAGTCCCACTATCACCTGATTTTATCTGGGCCTCTAGTAGATGTAAAATAACGGGATTGGTTTAACCATCCCAATTGGAAGGAAGGAAATAAACAGGAGCACTGCCAGGCAAATGGCATCCTGTGAGTGGACCTTGCCAAGCATGTGCGACAGATGCCCTTTAGAATCAATGCCTGGTCTCTTGTCATTTCCCTCCCCGCGCAGTAACTCCTGGCTTCCTTTTTCCCCCCTGGCTTAGCTTAGATTTTCTTTCTCAGGAATGGCAATGCTGTCGTGTCTTTCAACACCACTTTATGACCACTCCGCAATGTTTTCGGGGGAGAGAGGATATTAGAATTTTTAGAATTGGGTTCCAGGGGCCGGCAGGTGGTATGGCATTTAAAGGCACTGGACTCCCATATGGCTGACAGTGGTTCGAATCCAGACCTGATGGCTCTCCTTCTCACTTTCTTTCTCTGTCTCCCTAGTCAAATAAAAATTTTTTTAAATGTAAACATTGGGTTCCAACTAACCGTCTGCTGCTTTCCATGCTGCTCCCCATAACCAACTTCAGCCTTCAAGATACCAATCTCCAGCCCCTGAAAGTAAACCCTGAGCAAGCCCCAGGTAGGTACCTTCTGAGACACAGCCTTGAGTAATCTCCCTGCTCTTCTCCTTGGGGGCTCTGCCCAGAGCTGCTGGCTGGGCTCCCCCACAAGCTGGCGTTGGTCCACAGTGCAAAGACACCAACCTGTGGGAGCTCGAGTTGTGATGGGTCCAGGGCAAGGAGATGAGATTCTGTGCAATTATTTTGTCTTCTCAAACCAACCTTCTGGATGGGAAGAGTAAAAAGTAAGACCCGCAGGGACTAGCAGGCAGCGTGGTGGTTAAGGCGCTAGACACTCCCACATGGCCAACCATGGTTCAAGTCCCAGACCTGGTGGCTTGCTTTCTCGCTTTCTCTCTCTGTGTCTCTGGTCAAATCAAAATAAATGAATGAATAAATAAAATAAAATAAACATAATAAGAGCTGCAGAGAGAGGATGAGTGAAACCAGACACATTGTACTTCAGGAAGTCACTCTCATTAGAAATAGGCTAAAAATGTGTTTTTGTATTTTAAAGTTAATTCACTTTTTTCCTCTATGAGACAGAGAGAGGAACAGGCACCCCCACTACATGCTCACGCCGCGAGCCATGCCCAGTCTCCATCAGCCAGGGCCATGGGCACGCATGCATCTGGCGTGTCAGAGAGAGTCTGGGACACAAACCCAGCACCTTCCCGTCTGTGTCCAGTTGCATGACCTCTGCCCATGCCTAGCCCTCAAAATGGATATAATATTTTTAAGTATGATTTAAAAAAAAATAGGATATGATTTAAAAAGAACATAAAAGACTCGACTTCCGGGCCCTCAAGTAGCACGGTTTGAGAAATGGGGGCTGCCAAGGCCTCCGAACCCCTGACTTCGCCCGCAGCTCCCTAAACAGCAGGTACCAGAGGCTTTGTTCTTTGCAGAAGGGGGTCTTTGCATAAAAGCCAGTGGCGAAGTCCCCCACCCCCCAGCCTTGCCCCATTGTGTCTGCGGTAAGAGCCTCCGGAGTGCAGACCAAAGGGAAGGGGGCTGGTAGCCCGGGGCTGGCTTCCTACATTCTTCACCAAGGAAAGCGATTTGAATAAGGCCAAGAAACTGCCCCAGACCTTGGGTTTGTTGGAGTGGGTGCGCGGGTGGAGGAGGGGTATGTTAAAATGAGCTTACAATTGAGCAGATGAGATCAAAATCGATCCAAAGGACAATTGTGAAGTGGTCAGTACTGAAAAAAATATATATATATGTAGTGGAGGGTCTTCCGTTGAGCAGGGAAAGAAAAAATGAGCAATCAGGGAGGATCTCTAGAAAATTCAAGAAAATTCTCCGCTCTAAGGCATGAGAGAAAATGCTGGTGCCCAAACTGCTGTTTAAGCCGACTCCAAGGCAGGGGTGCAGTAGGAGGGCGTGGTGGCAGGGTGACACCGCCACTAACATACAGATGTTCCTGCACTTACGCGGGGTCTCCTCCGGATGGACCCGTCGTAAATCAAAACTACCTCAACGGGAACGTGTTTGACATTCTAACGCCCCAGCAGCGCGGCGGGGCCTGGCGTAGGCTGGTGTGCTCAGGGCTCACGGTAGTGCCGTTATACGGTGTTGGATATGTTACGAAAGTTGTTGACTATTTTGCGAAGGTGAGAAACAGGAAGGGTGTATGGGCACTTGAAACAGTTCCTACTGAATGCATACCGCTTTTCAATCTTGCGTTATTGCGATAGGGCGCATGTGCAAACGGGAGAGAGACGAGACAGACGGAGAGAGGGAAAGTGAGAAACCACCACCACCATCGCCTCCCCTGGGGAGATGGCTGCACCAGTCTCCTCTCATCCGTTCTCCTCTTGGATTTTGGGCACACGCATACGAACGCACTGGATGTGGCTTCCAAGCCACCAGGTCACAAGTCACACAGTCACACCGCCCAGTCAGCTGCCACATGGGATCCAGCCGCCTTAATTTCCACCCCACCTGCTGGCTCTGCGTATCACTTTTGCACCATTATAAAGCTGAAAAATCACAAGCCAGCAACCTTTCGTAACGTGAGTTCTTGCTGGGTATGCTTCAGACGTGGGCTCTCCATCACTGTAGCCATTTTAATTAGCACACATGTGTATGCTTGATCATTATGATTATTTTTTTAAGAGGTTTTTGCTATAGGGTGCATTCGCTTACCAGAAAGACAGAGAGAGACAGAGAGAAAGCAAGAAATCACCCCCCCACGGGGGATGGCCATGCCACAATCCCATCTCCTCCATTCTCCTCTCGGGATCTTGAGCAAGCACGCACACGCTCCTGGCGTGAGTTTAAGCCACCAGGTCTGGGACACGAACCACGGTCGACTACATGAAAGTCCAGCGACATAGCTATTACTCCAACTGCTGGTCCTCATTATAATTATTTTTAAAGAATGATTTATTTAACTTTATTTATTATTATTTCTAAATTGGCTAGGGAACGCATGCGCCGACCAGAAAGAGATTGAGAAAATGAGAACGCAAGCTGCCAGGGTCAGGACTGAATCATGATTGGTCAGGTGGGACGCCAGCACCCCAACCACCATGCCACCCGCTGACCCCTTCCTCATT